CAGGACTAGAAACAACTATTTCAAGACACTCCTGCTCCCCTGCTTACTAGTTGGGTGATCTTGGGCAAAGAATTAACTTTTCTAGGTTTCAGTTTCCTCCTTCATAAAAGGGCGTGAGAAGAGTTGGCTGAACTCAATAATTTGAGCCATTCCAGCTCTTGAGTCTATGAGTCATGTGCATTTGCAATGGTGTCCACAGAGCAAGCCCTCAACCCCTCCCTCTGCTGTGCTGTGCTTGTGGGGAAGCTTGCTCCAGGGCCAACCAGCTCCGATGGCGGTAGCACAGGCCAGTGACCTACAAGAGACCGACATTCATGGGGATTACTGTCAGCATAAAAGCACAGCACCATTTTATTGTTCCAGGCATTCCCTCCGAAGCATTAATCTTACTTGCTGCACTTCCGCATGGAGGTTTTATACCATTAGCTGCTGCCCCTTTTGCAGTAGAAACTGATTCCAACAAAATCCTGGACTTCCCCGATGGGGACCAGCTAATGACTTCTTCAGCTACCCCTGGCAGTTCAACAGTTTTCTTCCACAGACAACCCAAGTAACCAAATAGGGAAATGAACTAGCAGCCTGCAGCAAAGAACGAAGCCAGGGAAAGATGGGGGTTACTACCAGAAGCAAAGCATTTTTCAAGAAGAAGGTATTGTGACAGGAATAACTGGAGATTTGCAATATTCTCCAAATAGGTAAAAGGGACTTCTGGTTAAAATCAGCATTGGAGAAGCACAAGACTGTTTCAGCATGGCATATGGGCCTGTGAAAAGTACTTTACAACCCTTAGTAAATAACCTATGTTTCTCACCTATTTTATAGTGAGGAAAAATGATCCTGTCATTGAGAAAAAGGAAAGGAATTAGAACCAAAGACTTACAGTTGGGAAGTCTTACACCTAATATACTCCTCTCACCTTCCTGGAGAAACAGACTTGGGGACACAGGTGCAAAGTGACTGGTCCCAAGACTCCAGGTCTGAACTTTGGGAAATGAACATCTTTAACACCCATGAACTGAACAGAGTAGTTTTGGCCTTCAAGAAACTCCAGGTCTACCAGGGGTGAGGAGAAGTCTGCAAGATCAGACCTCTGTAATCAAAAGTAGAGGTTATAAAGTCAGCTAATGTACTTTGGGAGGCCCCAGTAAAGAGAAAGTGGGTTCAGGTGGAAGAGTCATAAAGAATACAGCCTTTGATTTAGGTCTGAAAGTCAGAGAAAAGCAAAGATACTGACAGAATGACTGCAAAAATTGAGAGGAAGAGAAGTGAAGACACGAAGGTAGAAAAAATTGGCTACAGATGGGACACATGGAGAGAAGGCTGGAGAAAGGAACGCCAGCGTGATAGGGGGTGGGAACAGACTATAAAGACCATTGCATTCTTGGCTGAAGACTGCCAACTTTATTTTGTGGATAATAGGGAGCCAGATATTTTGAGCAGGACAGTGACACCATCCGAGTGGTGCTTCAGGAAGATTTATGAGGTATGGGGGCGAGGGGAGTGGGATCAATATTGACCTTACCTCATCCTACTCTACCAGTCCACATTAGGGCAAGGAGGTGGCTAAGTACAAGTTCAAGGTGTTTGGTATGTCACTCTTGTAAGCAAAGGCAATATGTAGGAGGTGGACTGGGATTTCTAGTACTAGGTTGGGATGTATCTGGCCAGAACAGATAAGGGTCCTAGAAATATCTCTGGGTCTTCTGGCCTCTAAAAGGACCACTAGCCAGGGTGGCAGAGGGAGTCACAGATCAGTACCTGAGGTACTACCCAAGGAATATTGGCAGTAATGGCTCAATTTGGACCTACCCGTTAAAGGACAATTATGAGTTTTAAGTAGATGTCATAGACTCTGGAAATTTGCAGCCCAAAGTCAAACCATCTTGCTCTGGGGCAGAGTCTTGCCCAAGGCTCTGGGAGTATGGTCTAGGTTAGGTTGAAACCAATCTCATATGCTGTGATAATTTTACATAACACAGCAGCAACGGTGCCTTGGTCTGAGACCTTTCTCTGATGTTTTCAAGTAGGTAGCATGTTGGGTAGAAACCATGATTTTTTCCAGCGACTGAAGGGAAGAAAGGGGGCACAGTGAAGGAAGGGTCCCCCTCCTTCCCTGAAAGAGGGCATCTATGCACTTACACATACACACAGAACCTCAGAAATCAAGCTGGGGTGTTGGGGCCAAGAACTGTTCCTGTGTCACCGCTCCTCCACCCTGGGTGTGGCAAGACATGGAAATTCTATCCACGTAATTCAGCACCTCAATAATGAGACTCTTTCAGAGCTGACTGGAAGATAGATTATTTTCCTAGTTCTAATATGTGAGATGATGTTTATATGGATTTTATTTTCTGCAACCAGACTGTCAATAAGACACTGAGCTTAAAGTATTTTCTCTCTCAATGAAACTCTATAGTTGAGAGCTATCTCTTCATCGGCAGCCTTCCTCCACCAAAAAAAGGGAAAAAAATACATCTCATAAGCTCCTTGGGATATTGTCAGTATAAATCTTTTAAAGTCAGTAAGAATTTATCTCTCCTCTCCTTCTTTTCTGTTTCCTGTTTATTTTGCTCAGGATAGCTTGGGGCGAGGCAGAGGCTCCCGGGGCCCTTTCTCATTAAGAAGGATGGCCCAGTGGCACACAGGCCTTCACCCAGGGTGGCCACGGGTGGGTGGAGAAGCAGATCAAAGAGCCCTGCTCATGTGGTGCCAGCATCAAGCCTCTGCTGTCGTTGCATCGGGTCGACGTGTTCAGTGGTTAAAGATGAAATGGTTATTATTTTTACCTCTGCTCACCGGTATAGACCTGTGCTGCTCTCATCTCAACCAGCAAAGCTCAAGCTCTAGGCCGAAACCAAGGGTTAGGAACCTACAGGTCAGATAGACTCTTCCATTTGTGGCCAGTTACAGCATAGGCCTGGAACAAAGGATTTAAACTCTTTAAATCTTAGTTCACTCAAATTTAATAAGGGCATAGCCCACCTCTACAGCCATAGTGAAGATTAAACCAGCATCACGTGGGCAGTTCCATGGTTGCACATAGCAGGCATATAATAAATGTCCCTGCTTTGAGGGGCGTCTTAATCTGGAATTACTTTGATCTAGCACTGAACTTGGAATCAGAAGGACTGAATCTGAGCCCGAGCTCTGCTGCTACCGAGCTTCCTTTGTTTATCAAATGAAAGGATGGGATAGAGTCTCTAAGGATTCTTATAGCTCTGAACTGTCAGTAATTCCTTTTGCCTGCCTAGAATATTATTATTCTTGAGGAGCCAAGTCAAGTCTCCAAGCCCCCAAGTCCTAAACTCTCCTCCTAATTCATCTCTCTGAGGGGTCTATATCAACAGTTTCAATCAATTGACCAAATACTCTGTGAACTTTCCCACTGAAAAGTAAACTGCGATTTCCTGCCTGCCTTTCTCTCCCCCAGTTTGCGCAGTTACACCCCCAGGAGGGGTCCCTGTTCTTCGTTTCTGTAGATGCTTCTGTAGATGCTACTGTGAGGAGGCTGGTACCACTTCTAGATATGGGGTATGTGACACAAAGCTTGCCACACAGCAGGTACTCAACGATCCTTAAAATCAAAGTAATACACACACGTGGTAAGATAGCACAGAGCAGCTCACAATAATAATTTTAAAAAAATCACCCGTAAACTTTGCACTCCCCACCCCCACCCCGAGCTAACCCTCCTCCACACCGGGAGGCACATCTTTAAGGATTTCTCATTTCTTTAGGTGGCAGCTTTCTTTGTTCTGAATATTATGATCATAGCACTATTTCTGGGTACCACAACTCTAGACTTTTTGCATTGATGGTACAATATGAAAAATGATACCACCCCCTCTTCCAGCTCTTAATATTTTTATCTTGGTTTTCTAAGAAAAATCATCATTTTTGATTGCCGCCTTTTTAACTTTACGTGATGCATTTATTACTGGAGAGCATTGCTTTGTCCCCTCCCTGTGGTGCGAGGCTCCTGGTCTCCCTGCCTTTCCTCATCCTTTTCTTCTTCCCAAACCAGCTGTACTTTGCTTCACCTTGTCAGGTTTGTATAAGAATGATTAAGTCTTTTGGGTTTTGTTTACAGTTTCATGCTAAGTGTTGAAAATCAATAAACAGACCTTTTAGATGGATGGCCATATATTTTCTCAGTGCAGCACATACGGTTAGATTTAGAATATTTTCTATAGATCCAATAACACATCCTGCTCTAAAGAGAACATTCCAGAATCAGGAACAAATGAACTCCGTCTATTTCTCTCCCCCTCCCTGTCCCCCTCTATCTCTGTCCCTTCTCTTTGCCTTTTTGCACTGTCACTTGTCAAAATCACGGCACAATTAAGTCTGTCTCACATTTGAATCCAGATTTTCTCATGTATTTGTTTTTCCAGAAATATTGATTGTTTTTCTTGTATTTATTTTATATCTGTCCTCTTTATCATACCACTAACACTTCCATAGGCTCCTTGAAAAATCAGTCCCTTTTTCTTTTCTTTTATATTGGGGGGAGGGGGACAGAGTCTCACTATGTTGCTCTCAGTAGAGTGCTGTGGTGTCACAGCCCACAGCAACCTCAAATTCTTGGGCTTAAGCGATTCTCTTGCCTCAGCCTCCCAAGTAGGGAGGAGACTACAAGCACCCGCCACAACACCTGGCTATTTTTCTTTTTGTTGCAGTTGTCATTGTTGTTCAGCAGTCCAGGGCCGGGTTTGAACCCC